AAGAGTGGTTTGTGGGGATTAATTAACTAACATTTGCAGAGAGCACTTGAAGGATAGGAACAGCATGGGTTTTGCCAGTATGATGCTGTAGATATTATAAAGCCAACAGTCTACACAGGAGGAGGAAGAGAGCAGTGTTTCTTGCCACCAGTGAGAGACAAATGAGGTATGATGTTGCTGCTGTGAATCATCTTGATGGACGATTCTGCTGGTTAGAGTAGGTTTCTTGCACAGGTTATTACCACTCACAGATTCAGTCTGCGCTGTCAGATAGATAGCATCTGGTATAATAGAGACAGAGTAAGAATATCAGCTGCAAGTAGGTATTGAATGCACATGTTGACTTGAATTCAGAAAATGTTTATCTACTGAGTCATTGTGCATGCGTGCAGACAATTATGTGATCTAATGCGGCCTACCAGATAAGGAGGAATAAGGACAAAAATGTGCTCAGACTTTTAACTGTGAATATGTAATCACTACATCATTTACCATGGTTATATTTTTTAACAACAAAACCTATTACAGTTAATATTTTTATTACAGGAACAAACTAAGACGTTAGCAAGAATTCAGTCTGAAAGTACAGTGTACATCAAATGAGTAGCTGATCATGTATAATATACAAGAGACAGCACAAAATAGTAAAGTTTCTTTGTAAAATCCTTCCAGTGACCGTGACTTCACTAAGATACAGCTAATCTCAGAAAGCACAAAAACTGACAGGAAGCATATGGAAAGAGAGAGCAAGCAGTATAATTTATCTGCACCATGCTGAGGCAGGAAAGCTCCAGTTTTATTCTGTGTATCGCTGTGGAGTCACTGTGGGACACACAGGAATTCTCTTAGCCTCTCTGGACTGTCTTACATCCCGAGTAAAACACTAGGCCCAAGGAGGCCAGTGAGAAAATATTAACAGGCATAAGAAAAAACTTGTCTTTCAGAGCTTAGGAACTTTTCTGGCAAGTGTTGTGCATCCTGCACTGACTGAGGTAGGCAGCAGGCTCGAGACATGGCTGATTAGCTCTTGTCTTCAAGGCTCTTCAGAGAGGGAAAGTGCTCTAACCAAAGCATCCCTACCTGTGGGAGGGAGTTTTGCCCAGAGGAAAGGAAGATAAAACATGTGCCAGATTCTCTGGCCTTGTACAGTCCTTACTCGTATTGACCTGACTATCAACGTGCCTTTCTGCCACTGTGGATAACAACGCCCAGCATCACTGGAGTAATGAAGAGGTCAATATTCAGATGACTAGAGCATAGCTTTTTCAGGGCTTTTGAGGATGGAGAGCAAACCTAAGTTTATCCTCACCGCTGTGTAGGGGCATACTGGTATAAAGTAATTTCATCAGCCTGTGCCAGAATGGTGCTTGCTGCCAGTTCTGCATAGGAGCCATGGCAGCATCCATAGTCCCAACAACAAACCTGCAAAACGGGGCACCGCAATTATGATAATTATATGTGCATGTAAGCATGGTAATGGAGGGATGCATGGAAAGAGCAGCGTAACGTGTGCTGAAGATACACTGGCTCGTCAAAGTACTTCTATGCACCTACCAGCATCGCTTCCATGCCCTTTCAGGCAGCTGTTGTTCATCTTTCAAGCCCTATAAATGCCTTCCTGTTTGGCATATTTGTTCCAGTCCCTTCAAGAGAGTAATTTGGAGTAATGGGGTGAAACCAAGCCAAGAAAATCATCAGGCTGGCATTTGCTAGCAGTAAGAACTACTAGAGTCTGAAAAAAGTTCTCTGATGGTGTGGGTGAAGCCCTGGTGCTTAGGCCATTGCAACTGGACTGAACCAAACCATGGGAAATAGAGCTGTGGGGAAGAACTCATATAGTTAGTACGTAGAGCTGTTCCTTCTGTTCTCATGATACAAGCTTGTATTCAGTACAAACTTTGTCGTCTGTTTTGGTCAAATGTTTTACCCTTTTGTTGTACCTGCAGTTGCAGTAGCTTCCCAACTAAAAGCAGCAAATTAAATTGCAAAGAGCTGAGAAGAAAATGTTGCCAGCAGAGTTTGGAGAGTTGTGTGTCAGTGAAATGAAACGTAATGAAATAGGACTAGCTGCTGAGAAGGAATTCACACATGGTCAATATATATCCACCAGTAGATGTTCCCCCTCACTGCTAGTCAGGTGGTGGGTAAGCGTGAAATTATTGAAAGATTTGTGCACAACTCTGTGTGTGTGTGTGTTTCCAGATGGCGATCATCTTCAACCAGGAGGGCCTGAAAGCTGTCCGCCCCCCTTGCGTCATTCAGAGCTTCATCAATCACAATGCCGTGCTATATAAAGTCTTTGTGGTCGGGGAATCCTACACGGTGGTGAAAAGACCATCTTTAAAGAACTTCTCTGCGGGAATCTCAGGTACGTTGTGCTGATTTAAAAGGAAATGTCAGTTCTCGGAGCCTTGAGCAAACAGCTCCAAAGAAAAATATCTTTGAAAAGGCTGCTGAAGTGAAGGCAGCTGGTTCTTACATACCGTGTTTCCTCTTCTGTATTATTTCAATAGGAAGGGAGATAACTCATCTGCTCTGAAACACATATGAATGACATTCGTATAGTAAATATTTATGCAATGGTAACCTGAGTCTTACCTGTTAGAAACAAGTGTTTTATGTCATATGGAAAGGGGGAGAGGGAGAGAAATTCTCTAATTTCACAGTAAGCTCATGTGTCATTTGTTCCGGAGTTTGTTTATAAATGTGCTTTGGAGAGAATTTCCTGGATTCCATCATTTCAGAACTTCCTGTCCCTATTTTTACCTTGATTATGTATGTGTGTTTAAATTAAAGATCGCTTGTGCTCTCCCCTAAATGAGCTTCTCTGTTCATGGGAGGCCCAGTGTTGTAAACCTTGGTGGGACGTGTCCTTTGCTTTGTAGATACCAGCTGTGTTGGGGGGAAGGAGGAATGGATTTGTCCCTGAGGACAGTGATCCTCCTATATGTCACTAGACAGCAGCCCTTCAAGGATTTTCATTAAAGATTACTAAAATTTCCTTTATGGAAAAAAAGCTGGTTTCCCAAGAACTGCATTCTGTGGGCCTTCAGAAGCAAGAAGGAGTTAGCAGGGCAGGGATGGGAGCATGATCTGCCTGCAGCTGGCCAAATCCCGGAGGTGGGGATGGGAGGGGGGAAGGTATCAAACCAAAGGAGATGAATGAACAAGTGCCAGTTTCTTGTCACTTTTCTTAGTAGTTTCTGCTGACCTTAGTGTGTCCATGTGTGCTCACCATTGTGTTCTGCACACAAATATGTATTTTGTTAGTATATGTATGGTAGGATCCCAGTAAAAGTCCTTGTCTGTAGGTATGTATGCCTGTATTTACATTTAGGTCTGCTCTATGTCCTGATGAAATTAAGTAGGCCAGAATCTGTGTTCATATAAACTATTAGGACAGTTGGTCTGCACTTTTGCTTCAAGAGAACATTTTAAGGCATCTTTCTAAAAATGCCTTAGCTAATGTCTCATCCGTTAGTGTAAGACTTGAAATTTGTCTGGAAGCCCACGTAAAAATAAGTTTTGTGGGCAGATTAGGATAAGCGTCTGGCTTTCTTACCCTGATCAGGAGAGTTTATGGGGGCCGTGCTACAGGCACCTGATGAGGCAGATCCAACGATGAAGATCTGGCGGCTGTGAGGCACTCCAGGAGCTGATTGTCTGAAAGTACAGGGCCTTTCTAAATGGGAGGAAAGGCAAAAAGAGTATATGGTGGTGTCAGATCGCAGAGTGGATTCAGGTTTGCTTTTCACAGCACCCCCGTCTTTATCATATGTGGCCCTGTGGCTGCTCTTAAATGTCAACTCAGAGAGACCAGCATAGCAGAAATACTCTATTGCTGGTTCTACCAGCGTGCTGAGACCTTGATCTAGGTGTTCCTGTGCAGGTTGTCTGTACGATACCATCAGTCTGCCATGGTGGGAATCCCAAGGGGAGACTTGCTGTCGTGGATTTCTCCCCACCAGTAAAACCTCCAGCACAGAGGGAGCGGGGCGGGAGGTGCTGGTACAGTTCTCCCCATGGCTTCCACTGTGGTACGTTAGTGGCTTCTGTCACCTCAGGGTGTCTCCTGCATTCCTGTGGTGCCCCCAAAGGGAGGGCAGGTCCTGACCATGAAATTTACTGCTTTCCCCCTGACAGTGCCCTCCCCAGATTCACAGGGATCTCAGTGTACCATCGATCTACTGCCTGCAGTGAATGCAGCTTCTCCCTTCTATCACACGCCTTCCCATTGGAACTGTCACTTTGAGTATAGCAAATTGGTAGAAATTAACTTCGTTATCTTACTGAACTTAGTTAATTGGCTCTGGTGAAGGAAAGGAAACTGGTTTCTATTAATCCCGTGCAGTTCTGTGTATTTGTGGTCCGAGGTCTGAAAGCTGTGGTGACCCGGCCATGGGTCCCTGCCTGCGCAGGCAGCTGAGTGCTGGGCAGGAGAGGTCCTGTGAGTGGGGTGGGTGGCTGGGGACTGCCCGGTGGTGAGGAAGACTTAGATTGCCGGGGCTGCAGTGCCATCTACTGTTTCTTGCACTAATCCTTTGGAAATTAAAATCTGGTATAAAGTTATTTACAACCTTCTTTTAATTCCAGACAGAGAATCAATATTTTTCAACAGCCACAATGTTTCAAAGCCAGAATCGTCATCTGTCTTAACAGCAGTAAGTACATTTGGTCTTTTTTCCTCTAGCGCGGCTGGAAAACTATCTAGTCCTTTCTTATCAAAGCATTAGTAGCTAGTGACTCTCCTTCACAAGTTGTCAGCTTCTGTGTTGCAGGCTGAGGTCTCTTTGGTACAATGAACCAGCATGACTGTGTGTCCCTCTGGTTTTCCCTACCGAGCCCTGGTGAGGAAGCCCTGATGCAGCAGGCCTGTGCTGCTTGCCAGGCCTAAACTCCCCAGAGCTAATCTAGGCAAAGGGAAGAAGGAGGTTCTGAATGCAAATACTTAGCCTTTCCCTGTCCAGAGAGCTTAATAAGCATAAATCATCATTCCAGACTCAGTTCTGTGAGGAGGGACAAATGGTGAAAATTCAAGCAGAGAAATTGTGTTGGGCAGGGCCACAGAGGGCCAGTAGCTGTCTGTGGTGCGAGCATGCCTGAGCTGTGACCACGGGACCATTTCTGGGTGTCTTCCAAGTCCAGCAGTGCCAGCACGCTGCACAGTTTCATGCTTGCATTACCAATCCTTTTAATAAGCTTTGCGTGTATGAATCCTAACAAGTTCTCAGACACTCGACCGCTGAGAAAGTCACTTTACAGGACTGGGTCCTTTCAATCTCTGAGTCTCCAGATTCTTTTCTGTTTCACAAGCTCTATTGGGGAGTAGTTTCGAAGTTAGCAATGATTAAATTTTGTGTGCAACACTGATGTGCATGCTAAAAATTAAAACTGTAATTGTGCTAGTCATAAATCCTTTTATGGCTAATTTTACTTTTGAAGTTAGAGAGAGTATATGCTCCTGTGGTTTACCTGCCATCTCTCTCATACGCATACATATTCCATACATGCTTCTGTAGGCGTAACAGCATACTTCTGCTGCATAACCTGTTGTTTAAAAAGTGAGAAAAATTACATCTTCCAGTCATAAATAACTGGAGTTATTAGTCCTGATAAATGTCTGTAGAATAACTTATACATGAAAATCCGCATAAAGATATCCGCTTTGAATGAGCCTGTGCCCTGAAGATATCAGCTGAGTTGTGTTGTGTGGATCAAATGAAACTAACGGCAGGAGTCTGGCTTATCAGTCCTTCAACATAGGCCTTAATCTACATTGAAATAAAAGAATGATATCCAGAATATTTGCAGCAAAAAGTTAAACATGCCAGCTGTATTTGGTTTTTTAAGGTGTAGATATAGTACTTAAAATAGTGAGTCTGATTCTCCATTCATTCCTATTGCTATGTCTCTCGAGGAGCTGCACCGGTATGAAGAGGAAGAACTAGGTGCTTTAGAGCAGGTGGTAGGATTCTCAATTACGAAAGCAGTTTCTCTTTGGTGTCTTTCTCTGTTTCATGCCACCGGTTCTCTGCAATTACAGTTGGTGGATACGCACCTGGAAACCTCTGAAAATTAATCTTTCCACTAAAAAGACTGTTTCAGAGTCCATTAGTAACGTGTCTTTTTCCACTACAGCTGGATAAAATCGAAGGAGTATTTGAGCGGCCAAACGACGACGTCATCCGGGAAATCTCTAAGGCACTGCGGCAAGCTCTGGGAGTTTCCCTCTTTGGAATTGATATCATCATTAACAATCAGACCGGGCAGCATGCGGTCATTGATATAAATGCATTCCCAGGTGAGAAAGGCCTTTCCGCTCATGCTTTGTAGAAACCACGCAGTGCCTGCTTAGTGTGAAGTTTTACTGCTGGTGTCTCATATCATTGCTTCCCAGGTAGGGGACAGGAGAGCAGCAGCCAAATTGTTCTGAGATCAGATACTGTTTAATATGGGAAGGGCAGAACCCTAATCTAGATATGGAATGTGCTACTGAAATATTAGCTTTTAGGAGATATGGTCAAATTTTAGTGGCCAGCGGTAACATGGCTATTGTGCCCTTTCCTGCAAAGGGATGTCCAGGAACTGAAGCGTGGGACTGTGTGCTGGGACCTGGCCTTTCTGGGCCTGTCCCTCATTCTGAAGTGAAAACAAGAATAATAAATTCTATTTTAGGAGAGCCTTGTAAGATTTCTTTTTTTCCAGACTCTGTGCCATTAAAAATCTTGAGGGGGTGGAAGCAGCAAACTGTTCCCCTTGAAAATCTTTTCATGTGCAGATTGATTCCCCATGAAAAGACATTTTGTGCACAAAAGCAACAGCACCAGGAATCAGAAGAAGGTGATAAAATTGTAGGTGCACAGAAGTTGCTGTAAAGGGTTAAATATCCTTGCAGGTTCTCATAAGTGGATCCTGGAGTAAAACAATGGAATAGAGCATGTGAAAACCAGTAAATTTTTCCTTCGCTTTTTTTAGTGCAACATACATCTTGGAAACAACTAAACAAGCTCCTTGACCACTGGAATTGTTAAAAGGAGTTGTATGTATAATAGGAGGCAATAATGGTCTGTCACTTGTGCTAAATTCAGTAGCCTAGCACAGGAGAAGAATGCATCATCTCATTTGATGCTGTTTTGCATGGGATTTTTCTCTTTGACGATCTCCTCTCATTACCTGAATGGGTACGTCACTGTTTGTTTCCACAGACATACACGGGCTGTTACAGTTTGTTTAACCTGTCATTGAAGACTTTGAGTTTTAAATATGCCTGAGATATCTTTACATCTAGAGATCTTGCCCTGAGCCCCCAGTCTTTTTAATCTTTCAGTCTAGGTCCTCAACCGCACTACTGGCCTGTAGTGGCTTGCCTGTCTATCTTCACAGTGACTGGCTTCCTTTTAAAACTCCAGCCCTGCTATTCTCAGGTCACTTTGCAGCTTGGTTCTGCCATATGGTGTTGATGCAATCTGCAGACCTATGAAAAGAGTCTTCTGCCAAAACCAGTGAAACAACCTAAATTGGGTGTCAGATGGAGCCAGATCAGTTTTATGAATGGGATTATATTTCACAGAGGGGGTCTTGCAGTCAGTGATGTAGGACATTCTTTTGCAATCCTGCATCCTGCATTTTGCTTTGGGGTTTTGGGGTTTCTGTTTTTTCATTATTTTGGATTTGGTACTTTGCACAGACTGGAATTCCACTTTTCCTGAAATGTTGAAAAGTCCAGATTGGGGGACAACTAGTGGCAAGCTTAAGTATTTAAAGAGGGGTAATGTGTTCTTGTTGTGGCAGAAGTTCACAGAACTGCCTTAAGCCTCATGCTCTGCTGTACTTCTACCCCAAGGCAATAGGTTTTGATATTCCGCCCAAGTCCTATGTTTCAATCTGCACAATAATTGGTCTTTGAAGAGACACTGAGTTAAGAGAGTATTTTAGGCCTTGCAAGAGGCTTGAGAGCATGGGGAACCTTCTTGTGCACATGTCTACATTGTGTCTTACGCAGGATTTTTTTGGTGGTGAACATGTGGGTAGTGAAGGTAGCTACTGGCTTTATCACCATGGGATAGGTTGAAGACCAGTTGGAGAAAGTCTAGAGGATAGCAGCAGGGACCAGGCATATGGAAGAGAGAAGGTCGGGGGTAGGCAAAACTGCCTTCAAATTTGTAAAAGGTAGCAGAACTGAGAGAGATGAGCTGCTCTCAAGGGCTGCTGAGGTTGGAGAAAAAGCAATGGGGTAAAATACAACAGAAGAAACGTTACATCTCAACACAGAATACTCTGTTGCCAAAAAGCACGTTCAGCCCAGGCAGCTGCTTTTCCCTCGAAGGGCCAATATGATTAAAGGCTGAGCAGCTTCAAGGGCTGGCTTCATTGATGGAGCCAGCACCTTGCTAATGAGAAGTTCAAATTTAGCTCCGCTCAAAAGAGTCACTGATGGGCTGCATCAGCAGTGGGGTCTTGCTGTTCCTGGCTCAGTGCAGTCCCATGAGGGGGCTTTCCCTTGGTCCTCTTCCTCAAGTCATCCTGTCCTGCAAGGGTTGCAGTAGAGCCAAGTTGGAGCCAAGTTAGACACTTCGGGGACCTGCTACGTTATCTCTGCACTGCTGCTTTGGGGAAGGGAGACAAAGAGGTGCCCTTTAAGGAGCATTCACAGCCTCTTTCATGGAGCTCACGCTACAGCTTGGGGCCAGGCCTGACCAAAGCCTCGTCCAGTTGCCCAGAGGTTTGGCTTCCTGTGTGCTATCTTTTGTGTTTACCAGGCTTGAAGCTCATTTGAACCTGCCACTCCATGGATGTCATCTTGAGATTAGTTTAACATCAAAATTGAGAGCAGATGTTCCTGTAGGAGGATGTCATCTGTTATCTGCTCCATTAGCACCAGCAACTCTTCAAAAAGATTTTAAAGATAAATGTCTAAAAGGCCTATTGTGTCTCCTGTTCTGTGGGAAACCACCAGGACTATATTTAGCTGTGGTTATCAGCGGAGATATTTAACCATAGGCAGAGTCGCCTAGCATGTGAGTTTTATGTTTGTCTGACCTCAGGTAACGGAGAGAAGAGGCTCCTTATAGCCTGCTCTTGTGTGGCCGTGGCTGAGCTGACCCAGCCTGAGCAGCAGCTGGCGTGCACGTTCAGCAGCCTGTACCAGTACAGGTGAACTGCTGGTTCTGTGTGCATATATGTGGCAGCTGGAAGCATCAGATCTGGACATGCACTTTGTGTAAATATGCTGCCGCAAATGCAGGACGTGGACTGTCCATTTCTCTCTGCCCAAGGGAAGATGCAGAAAAGCAGAGAGTGTGCCAGATCAGGGAGAGTCTCCTAAAAATCAGGCAGGTAGCATCTCTAATGCTAGCTTAAAAACGCTCGTAGGCATTTCTTGACTCCACAAAGCTCAGGGGGGCAGGTACTTGTTTTCAGATGCATTGCTGGGTGGGCATCCTTCCTATCCATGCTCAGCCAGAGGAGTCTGGAGACTGTTTTCAACATAGCAAAATTCAGACCTCTTGTAAACAGGCAATTCCAAAATGGTTTCAGTGGGCAGTGCTAGGATAGTACCTGCTGCAACACGATTCGTGCAACTTGTGCTTTGAGGCATGCAAAACTTACATCCTCCCACTGATTCCTTGTGTGACATGAACCCCAAATTCATTGCCAGTAGTTTCTGAAGGTGTAATTTAATCTGCTGTTCTTGATTTTGTTATCATCAGAGCACAGTGATGTCCCACAATTGGCTTTTTTGAGAGGCCTGCAGCAGCAGCCAGTGAACAGAGCAAGGCAACATCCACAGAGTTTGCAGCCTTCCCCAGGCATCCCGTGGCTCAAGAGCTGAGACACCCTGGTTCTCTTCCTCCCTTCCGCATATTTCTTTTTTAGAAGTGTGTGAAGTTTCTTCTGAGTGACCAGGCAGAATTACTTGGGCCTTTCCACCCAGTGTGCAGAGGGCTTGCACAGAGGAAGCGTGCCTGATATGTACAGCTTCCTTACACTGTAACACCTGCTGATTTCAGGACTGAATAACTGGCCATCTTATTCCCATTAAATATTTAAAGCAACTTCTTTGTTAGTTTGCCAGGTGCCCTCAAACAAGGCTGGTTTGTTTTCAGTGAGCAGACACGAAACACTCTAGGGTACTATGGATCTCCTCTCTGAATATTAAAGCTGTTACTATGGAGATGGCTTATTCCTGAGGTGTTTGAAGCACTCTGAGTAGATTTGAAGGCTAATCCCACAGCTTTTACATAAGCAAGAAAGCGCAACAAGCACCTCTGTCAAAGAGGTGGAGATCTTGTTCTGGCTCCCATGACCGGCCGTAAGAGTCCTAGTTGCCCCCTGCCGACCAATGGATTATCGTGGGGGGCACTGGGAAACTTGACATTTTGAAATGGCCAGTTTGTTTGGTGAATCTGTTTAAGGGCCTTTGAGAAAGGAAAACTGGGAGCTGTTGTCTCACGTTGCTAGTGTTTTGTGCAACCTGTTAAGTATCTAGGAGAACTGTGACCAAGTGCAGTAAAATCCAAAGCAATGTACTAGCCTAAATAAGAGTTAATTGGTTAACGTATGGTTTATAAACATGCCATAAAATCACCATGTTTATCTTAAGGTGAAATTATCCTCTTACCCGATGTTTTTCAGGAAGTTGGGATTTTATTCCCTAAGGAAGTTGATCTTTACAGGAGAATGGAGATTAAAATTGAATTATTTATGGATCTGAGGGACTCTTCTGCCCTGCGATCACATCACTAAAAGTGTTTTAAAATGTGCATTTACTTTGTGGTCTCCGGTTCTGTTCATGTGCTGCTGCTTGAATGTGTACTATTCACATGGGACTTTTAAACTATTATTTATTGCTTCAGTCTCCTGTATTAATACCAGGTCACCTTCAGAATACTTTTATAGACATTTTAAAACAATCAGCCTAGCCCAGTAAATACACTGAATGTCATATGTGATCTCTAAATACTAAATCAAATTGATAACAATTTTAGGTAATGCAGTAGCAGTCAAGATCCGTTTCAAGACATTGTACCAATATGTTGCATGTCTGGTTCAATTTTAAAATGAATGCAATGATAAAACTGTGCCTGTACCAGAGCGTATAAAATAGAGCCAGAGGCTTTGTACGCCTACTGCCACCCTTCGTGTCACCAAAAATGTCATGGCTCCTGGTATTTGAGCAACTGTTTTAACCAGGGAACTTGTTGTTAAACTCTGCATTGTAAATTGTCTGGAATCGCTTAACAGAACATGCAGAAAGGTGGTTTCAGTACTGAAATAAAAGATGGATGTTTCTACCAAATACCATATCATTGATATATGTTTACTGTCCCTCAAGTGTTTTTTCAGACATTGCTCATAGCAAGAAACATGTTTTAAGTGCCAAGTTAGGTTAGATTAGATGAGCATCACATTGCTGCTTACACAGTGTGAAATTGCCTTTTCTGCAGGGTATAAAGCCAGCCCCACTGTCCTCTGAGGTTTCCCTCAGGGTATTGCTGGGCAAATTCTAGTGAGGGTCTAGACCTTCAAGGAAGCTGCATTAGAGCTACTTTCCATAGTGAACCTGGAAACAGGATGGAAAAGATCAACGTTATACCACTGAGTCTGTAACCTATGGAAAAATCTGGACTTGGCAACAAATGATAGAATATACCTAAAATTATATATACACATATGTACTTGGGAGGAAAACAAAACAGAAAATCTGAAAGGTGACAGTTTTTCTCATTGAACAAAAGTATTTTTGTAGCAAGGGTCTCTGTTCCTCTTTATGCTAACTTGCTTGTGCAGTCACTCACAATGGCATCACAGAAAAGAAGCCTTTTTATTATCACTTGGAGGGCAAGGACAGCCCAAGAAATAAACTGGTAGAAGAAACCTTTCAAAGAACTTATGAAAATTACTTAATTGCCTTTTGTTCTCTCCCTCATTTTTCCTCTTTTCAGGTTATGAGGGTGTTTCCGAATTTTTCACAGATCTCTTGAACCACATAGCTGCTGTTCTGCAGGGTCAGGCACCTGAGGTGACCCAGCTAAACCGCAGCAAGCTCCTGGCAGAGCAGACCAGCGGGATCATGGACGAGCGGATATGCTGCGCTAGCACAGGCTGTCTCAGCGTCATGGGAAAAGACTCCTCCTGGATTGTGGAAAGCGAGACCAACAGCTCAGTAAAACTGCAACACCAGAGACTAGCCTGCAACTCAGCAGTGTCCCCCAGCTTCCAGCAGCACTGCGTCGCTACGTTGGCAACAAAAGCTTCTTCTCAATAACTTGCCAATGCCATGGACTGAGAAAAAGCCGCAGGGATACAAATTGTGGTCCCAGAACCAGATCAGGCTGTAACAATACGATTGCGAAAAATGAAAAAAAAAAAAAAAAAAAAAAAACAACAACACAAAAAAGCAAAATAAAAAAAAAACTTTAATTTGATTTAACCTGATTTGCTGATGAAATGGACTGAAAGGGGGAGGGCAAGAAAGTGATTCAAATCCATTTCATCAGATTCCAGTTGCAAATCTGTAATGAGTTTACACACACATGGGTTTTAACACTAGTCCTTTCATTGTGGGAGGGTTGCTCTTTCATTTCTATTGTTCTTTGTAATCACTGGTGACCAGCATTTTAGAATCGGACCTCATGGTATCAAGAAGATAATAATGTTGAAATGGAGTGTATGAATGTAACAGAGCTAGAGATTTTTGCCTAAAATATTCCCTGTTCCCTTTTTCTAGGTAGGCCATTGCAAAAGAAAGCTAAGACAACTTCAGAATCACTAAACCAAATCTCTTGAAACATTGACCAGTCAAGATGTTGACAGGTAGCTTGCTGTGAGCCGCGGCACTTTGAGTGGGACAGAGCAGACTGGTTGTTCAGGGTGCAGAACCGAGGTGACCACCCCGGTTCCAGCTTTGCAGTTCTGCCCCCAGGCCTCATTGCTTCAGTCAAAAGCAGCTTCTAACCACGCTTGCCAGCAGTGACATGTGTTTGATCCAGACAGGGTGCTGATAGTTAGGTTGAGCGATTTAGTAGATTAAATGTCATCCTTTCAATCGTCTGCTAGTGGTGAAATCCTAGAAGAGTTAATGGAAGCAGCTCATCTCTCAGCAGAGAATTTAGTTCTCCCTCCGTTGCACTTGGGAGGACTCTGGGACAGCTCTGCAAAAAGGCTGGCAATCAGAGCCACACATTTTCCTTGGAGCAGTACGCCTGATCTGCGGATCCTAAGGGGTAATGCAGTTGCTGCCTTCCACAGATCCATGCTGCTGTGCGTTTTTTTTTCTTTTGCAAATTAAATATAAGCAGAATTGTGTACCTTTGTATGAGGTAGAAGTACAAGACAGCTGTAACTTAGAGGCCACATTATTTTGTTGCAAGCTGCCAGATGAGGCCGTGTGGTAATTTACAATAGTGCTTTATACTGTTTGTAAACTATAGCACAGCCAATTTGTATCTCTTGAGAATAGGCAGTAAACCTACAGTGTTCACCCTCTGTTGCATCTTCTAGCATGGCAGCATCTTCTGCTGTTGAGAATTCCTGCAACTTTTGCCAATTCTGAACACTAAACTGGAAATATCCAAGTCTGTCAGTGCTGAGAATGGAGACACTATTTTTATAGACAGAGTGGCCTTCCCTTCCCCATATAAGCCCTGAAATATGTTTAAGAGGGGTGGTGTTAAGAAAATTTCCTTAGTTAAGCTCCTAGCTTGCAGATACAGGAATTTCTGTCTTTCTATAGCAGGTATTTGTAAAGCATCCATCACTGCAGCATTTAGTACCAGTTTGGTTAGTATCATGTGTTAGATATCTACTCAAAAGGAAAGGATCTAGAGCTTAAAGCCCAGGTAGACCATAGAGAGAGGAATAAGAGATGCGCAACATCTTTGTGTAAAAGATGTCACCACCCTACCTGATGGTACCAGTCCTGGAGGGGAAAAAGCTTTGACGAGTGTTGTATAGCAATTCTTTTGTGTAAACAATGTTTTTTCCTTAGGAGAGATTGGGTTTGTTCCCAAAATGCCATTATTGGGAATTTCCTGTAGCCAGGGTCAGATTTTCAAGGATGATTTACACAAGAGAAGATTATTCCACCTCTAGAGGGGTTACTAACTTTATAAGGACTGGAAGGACCTTATGAGTGTGGAAGCTGTCAAATTCCAGGGTGCACATAAGTGCAGCCAACTTCCTCGACTGTTGCAGACCAGTTCTGAGCTGGGCATGCTTCACAACCCTTGGATGCTTTGAGGCTGCTGGATCCCATGTTGTCTGCAGCTCGCAGGTCTCGGGTGGTCGTGGTGTGAGTGAGTCAGATGTACATAGGTAAGGGTTTATAAAAGTATTCATGACAGACCAAACCTTTCGTAAAGCCATGACTGAAATAAAATTGACATCTACAGTTTGGGGTTTGTTTTTGTTTGTTTAAAATCAAAAGTGTTTTTACGTTACATGTGTAACAAAAGATACCCTCAGGAAGGAACTTGCCAGTGCATATTTTTGTATGGTACTTTCTTGTAACCAGCTGGTGGAGTGCTTGTAGACTTGCCTTTTGCTCCGTTTATTGGAGGGTTTTTTGGGGTTTTTTGGTTTTTGGTTTTTTTTATTGGGTGGTGGGGAAGAAGCAATGATGTTAAAACTGGGTTAGTAACTCAAGACCTTTTGAACTAAGTATGTTTACATGAATCTGAGTGTTGGATCCAATGGAAATGTCTGTATGCTGTTTCCTAGTTAGAACATCAAATAAGAATTTTATTTTCCTGGCTGCCTTCTGAATTTTGGTTGGCCTATTTTGCACTGCTTTATTTCTCCAAAATAAACTACTGAAATATAATTGTGCATTTTAAACTTGTTTACAAATGATTGTTAGAAGTTTATTTTGTAATTCTCTGAAGGCTTGCAGAAATACTATATTTAAATATTATTCCAGATCTTGGCAGTAACTAGAAAGCAAGTTTAGGTCATTGGTGTGATCAGTGACATTTTTCCCATAGTCTGTAATTTATTTTTTATTTATCAAATGTATCAGTATCACTTTAATTTACCAGGTGCAGATATGCAGGTACCTGTTGTGATGTGGCATTACAATAGAGTTTTCACATAAATTACCATGCAATTGCTGTACTACTATATTTCCTTGCAGAAATTATTGTTATGGCTCGTATACTAGAATGTTGCTAAATCACAGGGGCAAATTGGGAGACCAACATTTAAAAGCCAAAACTGTAAATTACCAAGCATCCAGACATAGAGTTACATTATTGCAAAACATTCGAGCATGCGTATGTTATTAAGCCTGTGCTAAAGTGCTTTTCTGAATTGCTGCCTCATTTGGTAACTTCAGGATAGTTTTGATTTAAGATAAGCTTCACAGTAAGTTAGTTAATACTCTGTAGTCTTGTCTTTTTTTGTAAAAGTAGAGGAGTCTAGTAATATTAGACCATACCAGAATGCCCTTGCTCTTAAAATTGCAGACAATCTGAGGGAGACTTTCCATAATGTCTGTTTGAATTCTGTTATTGTGGGTGAGAAAATGTTCTGCTGTGTTTTCAGAGGCATAGCTATTATTGCTGTGTTGATGGGATCAATTATATGAAAAATACATGGTCACCAGTTAGCTTCTTAGGGATCTATTTCTGTTCTGCTTCACTGTTAGAAATCCACAGGAACACCATTAGCTTGACTGGAATTTCTCCAGGTTTTGTGTCAGCGTGATGGAGGAGATGGGACTCTGGTTTCCACTGTAATTACGTAATTGGCTTCAGTAGGTGAAGATTTTTCCCTGTTGAAGAGAACTTGAGGGGTATTATTACCGCCTGCAGTGTAAAGCCATCACCATCCTCCTCCCCCCCAGCTGACTTTGCTGCGTTATGCTTGGGTTTGTAATGACTGCACCAGAACATCCTGATCGTTAACATGAAAACCAGCTGCAGAAATGCAGCCTAACTAGGAGCATCGACGCTGACACTTGTGGTTTGTGTAACGCAGAACTACCACTGGGCCGATGCTGTTTTGCCTTTGGTTAACCACATGTCTGGCTATTCAAATTTTGTGCTGTAGGAGCCAATTGACTGGGCTGGTCGGTAGATAGGATGCACTGTTTTTATGAATACTGTTCAGAACGTTGGGATGATAAAGCTGCTCAACATGGGAATGTTTGTGCAGAGAAGGTCCACAGCAGGTTGCTCGGATGGAAAACCACCAGTTTAATTTGTTTTCATTATAGATGAGTACAAATTAAGAACCCGACCCTGAGGCTTCTCGAGGTAACAAGGATTGCTCAAGATAAAGCCTCAAATTCTCCAGATTAACTGCGGGCTGTATCCAGCCAGGGAACAACCAGGTGGTGTAGTGGGGAGATAACAGAGGCAGGATATGGTCCAAAGGCAACAGAATAAATGGGGCCAGAGGTGTTTGAATTGGGTGGCAAAAAAGAGCAAAACAAAGACAAAAATGCTTCTGTTCTTTCCATCCAATAAAAAAAAAATCCAGGCTTATCAGTTCTTAGACTAACACTGGTTTCCCAAAGTCTTTGCGTGGCAGCAGTGACAAGTGAGTCAGGCTTTTTCGCACTAGCTTGCAGCCTTGCCTTCCACAGCTGTGCAGAAAATCTTGGATTTTGGTTTTTTTTAGTGAATAGAGTCTATTTTGAGTTTGTAGCAGTCTCCCCATGTGCACACTTACAGGAGTTCACTTGCATTACCCTGCTAATTTTCTTTTCCTCTCTCCTTTTTAGTAAGAGATGTATTGATTTCTGTATTCAGTATACAATTACTTTATGGTGTTGCAACTGTGTGTTTTGTAATTAGGAGTATGTGAAAATGCTTTGTGTAGATTAAAATATTTCCTTTAATATAATCTCCTCTTGCTTTCATAGATAAACAGACACGCTGTTGCAGATCACATTGCTGATTTTATTTGTAATATTGCTTTAATATCTTATTTCAGAGGAATGTAACCTCCAGAAAAGTACTTTCCACATCTTCACTACCTTTCCTTTCCCTGTTCACTCTGTGTGGATCCAGGCCATCAACACTTGAGCTTTTGACCGGATGGGTTTCTGATCCTCCATGGATTCTGTCGTGTTTACATGGCCACAAAAATTATTAAAGGTGATTGAAGTTTGAGAGGATCCAGGTATAAATGGAGATGTTAGAGCGATTCCTCAGCAACACAAGCACAGTAGCATCTGTAGCAAGCAAAGGGAATCGTTCTCGCTGTGTGCCTGCAGGTGGCTGTTGGGGTCTGGCCCACCCCTGCTGCTGGGGCAGTTTTCCTGTGGAAATAAAAAATCCACTGTAAGAAAATGTCCTGTATCTGTGATGCAAAAGGAGGGAGGGGAGAGGTAGGGCTTGGGAGTAGAATCCTGGCCAGTGGACATCGCGATACCAGTGGTCCAGAATTTCACTCTATGTTTTTAATAGCAATCTGGGGAGATGTTTTCTTTCTCTCCACCTTTTTTATCCTGAATCCACTGGGGCTGATGCTAGCAGATGCCTGTGGGCCACGTGAGCAGGTGACCTTGCCCAGCGTGCCATGAGTTTGCAGAGGGCTCCCGATGTCTTGGGAAGTTTTTGTTGATGGCCTGGAAGTAACTCCAGAAACAGCTGAAACAGCAAATGGAGTTCATGAAAATCAGGTCTTCCTCTTCCATCCTTTTTAAGGAAACCCACATTTTATTTCCTCTTCTGTTCTTTACACAGTAGTTTTTAGATATAAATTATTTTAACATTTTTTGTGTGAAAAGTCATATATACATATATAAAGTTATTAAGAGGTTGAGTATATGTTGAGTATAAAATAGTGACTTCTTTGTTTCAGATGTTAGCAGCCCCTAAAAATGAGTTGTTTATCCTCTTGTAAAGTCAGTGCTGTAAAAAAAAAAAATTAAAAATAAAAGATGTATTAGATGTATCTTTTATTATTTATTTCTGATTCAGTATTTGAAAACAACTTGTGTATACCCTTGTGAGAACCACATACTAAAATGCAGTTGTTCTTAAAATGGAGTAACAACAATTCCTTGGGATCCCAACAATTTTGAGAAAACTGGCCCTCCGGGTGTGGATAGTGTTGGATATTCTCCTTCACTCTCCAGCATTGCTCCCCACCTAAGCATGGCTGAATCTTGGGGACCATTTTGTGTGTGTGCTACATTTCGCAAGTTCATCGATATCTGTGTTCAAATCCAGCTGTACAGTGTTACCAAGTGTGTCTTGTGATTCGCTTCAGCCCGGTTCACTATGATTTCTGAAACATAATTCCCATTTTGTACTTAAATTTGTATAGAATTATATAAACCCTTAAAAGATCATGGCTTACTGTAAAAACCAAAAATACTTGCTATTTGGCGTCTTCAATTGCATGACTGATCAGATCTGACAATGAAGATGGTGCTTTCATCTAACAGCATTGATTTCAATGGTAATAATCTCATTTTCTTTTCATTTGCCAAGCACCTGTTTTGGACAATGTTTTGGTTTCAACAGTAAAGCAATATGCAGTAGGTATTGTGGCATTATCTCTGTAATTGTTTTGAAGACAGAATTGTCCCTTTCCAACACGTAATGACAATAAATGCCTTATAACAAGTTCTACTTTGCTTTCTCTTTATGAGCGGATAGGGCAGCGAGGTGAGCAGCTCATTGGGGGAAGCCCGCTTTCATGAGAATCTGGTTTTCACATCCTTCCCCAGTGCAGTCGTTTGCAGTTACTTTGGACCTCCTTGTACCAGCAAGATTTGATTTCTCTTCTAACGCTAGTGGGAAGTCAGCTATTTTTGTTTTACTTTATAACACAGCTAAACATCACTGGGATTTAGGCTACTGCTGTACTTAAGCATTTATTCCTAGTGTAGGCTCTGGGCTGATTGCTCCTTCATCATCCTGGATAGGGAATTCTTCATTTCTCAAAACCCAGCAGGATTTTTAATCAGGACCCTATTTTAGCTAGTGCAGAAAAGAGATATCTCACCCAGCAGCATTACATTTTGCTAAGCAACAAGCACTCTCAGCAAGGACGCTCATATAAACGCTGCCTGGGGATCAGGGCTTGGTGTCAGCCCCAAGGCCAAGCCCTGCAGCGGTGAGTTGGGAGACGCCGTAGAGCAGAGGTACAGCCCATCGGAGGGCCAGCGTTTACCGGCTGGTGGGGCATCCTCCCAGGCCCAGTGCTCGGCCCTTGAACTCCATCTTTCCCTTTGAAGAAAGTCCTTGGGTCCCAAATGTTTGTGATTACTTGAATATCCAATTAAGACAGTATTTATAGTAGCTCCATCAAGTAACATTATTTTTCCTCTTGTTGATTTGCAGCAGCAATAGACAAGTTCTGTCTGCTGCCGCCATCCTTTGTGGAAAAACTTGTCTAACTCCATTGGAGATGGCTGCATTTCTGTGGTGGGGTGTTTGGTTTCTCGGGTTTGGGGTGGGTTTTTTGGTTTGGGTGGGGTGGGTGGCTGAGGGTTTCTGTGAATTTATTGTGACATGTAGACCTGAGTTGGCAAGGGCTTGTATAGGTGATGCTACCGGCAGAGACTCTGCCACAAAAAAAAAAAAAACAACGGAGAAACTAAATACAATATTCAAATTAAAATTTAAATGAAGATCAGTATGTAAAATGTGACTTTTACAGCTGGATTAACTCCCTAATAACTGACATTTTAGTACTTTTACTGTGGAACAGCTTTGGTTTCACTTCTGTTCCTACGCACATTTCCCTGAGGTTAACGAGGAGAGTGCCATCTCCTCAGGATGGGGTTGGGAGACGGGCACCTCGCTGTGGTGTGCTTCCCCAGCCGGGCTCTCGCCCTGTGCCTGGTCCTGGCTTGCGCCTGTGCCGGGGCAGCTTTCGGGCTGTGTCTGGGCCTCACCGCCTCCTCCTGCCGCTGGTGGCTGCCCGGGGCAGGGGGCGAGGGGCACTGCCCGCTCAGCAGCTCCTCCCTGGGGAAGCTCGCTGGTGGGTGGGGGGTGGCTCCGGACACCCAACGCCTCCTGCGCTGAGGGGACCGCACACGCCCACCTCCAGTGCGATTCACCCTACGGGCCAGCAGCACTGAGGTTTTTAGCAGAATGAAGGAATATGTGGGGTTCAAAGGCTGGCAGCCGTTCCCTCAGCATCTCAGCTGTTCTGTGGGCTGCCCATGATGGGAGACAACTCAGCTTTGAACTGGGGGGTGGGATACAGCCCTGGCAGTGGGATGCTCTTTTCCTCTCCTGCCGATACACATAGAAAGTCTAAAATCTTACGATCGGAGTTCAGAGACTTTTGGGGCAAGCCTCCCCAGCCCAGGCAGCAGCCCGTCCTCCAGCAGGCGTGTGGCCTGGAGCCCAAAGGCTGGGGAAGGTTCTGCCTGTCAGCGCTGTGCCGGCAGGCACCATGGCTCCTGCGAGCCCACGCACAGGAGGGGCGGCCCCTCAGGTCTGGCCTTCACCTCTGGGGGAGCACAGACCAGTAGTTTTCCTCATTACTTGCCTATTTGTTACTTTTGTTTTTCAACACACTCACGCGTTGTCCAAATAGTTTGACTTGGTCAAGTATTGCCCCAGCGTTTAAACTTCTAAACTGTTGTATCTCTGATCAACCCCGTGTTCAGTGATGGACTGCGGCTGTGACCCCCATCTCACTGAAGCACCCAGGACACCCAGCACCAGGCCCCAGGCAGGCAGGGAGAGCCCCGCCGTGCTCAGGACCTCGGGGAGGTGTCCTCGCTGCTGGCCCCCAGCGGGCAGCCACCTTGGAGCCTGTCTAAGGAGGGGAACGCCACCACGATGCGTCTGCGGTGAGGGGAGGCCGCCGTCCCCCCTCCTCTCCGCCAGGGCCGTACAAGCCCTGCAGCGTGCTGACGACCGATACTCAAGCTGCCAAAACAAAGGAAGGAACTCACTGCAGTTTTATTTTTCCTTAGATAAATTTTTTATATAGAATATATTACAGTCAGAGTTCTCAGCTTTTAATCAAAAGATAACAAGTTATTGCAGTTTTTTACCCAGTGAAACTACCGGTGGAAGGAGAACTTTCTAGAAAGCTGTCTTGTCTTTTAAAAAAAAGAGGGAAAAAACCCCACCCGGACAGAAAATACACGTGTAAGTTGCGCTTCGCGCCCACCGGCGCCCAGCCGGGTGGGTGGGCATCCGTGTGGACAGGGGAGCGTGAGGTGAAGAAGCGGCGATGGGCACAACACTATGGCGAGGGAGGCAGGCCTGGGCGCTAGCGAGGTCAGTTTCCTAGGCACGATGCTTCTGCTCCGGCTTAATTGCTTTTAAATCGGGAAATGAAAACGCGGTGGGGAGGGAGGAGGGCGGCGGCAGTGACCTTCGCCTGTGCAGGGAGGGCTGGGGCCCTCAGCCTCGCCTCAGCTCATGCAGCTTGTGGGCGACGCGCTCCAGCTCTGCCTCGATGGCGGCCAGGCTCTCCAGCTCCTGGTCCTGCAACGAAAGCCCGGGACACGCGTCAGTGGCTGCGGGTGGGCAGCCCTCGCCCCCCAGAGCTATGGGAAGCCTTGCCCAGGGCTAGCTGCAGTGGTGGCACAAGCACAGCCACATCTTGCCCCATCCCCTCAGCCCGCTCCTGCATTTGCCCCTCTGGACAGACGTCTGTGCGCAATGCTGATTAGTCCTGTCCTAATGATAAATCGCTGCAGCTGGTGATGGGGTCAAGACATGCAGCCACCCTCCTTCCCCAGCCCTGCTGCCGGGCAGGGCAGCCCCTGACAGGCCTCTCCCTCCAGAGCATGGGGCTGGAGGGAGATGGCTGCCGGGGAGCCGAGGCCCCGGTGGGCACTGCCAAACAGCACTGGGTGCCTGGTGTCCCCTCTCCCCATGCTGCACGGGGTGTCCGCATGCACCTCCAGTACTGGACGAGGCTTTTCTCTTTGGGAAAATAGTGACTGAGGAAGCCATCAGTTTAAAGGCTCAAGGTGCCCATCACTTGATGGCCATTCTGTAGTGGCTCTTGTATATCTATGCCGTTACTTGAAGCTATTTTATTTAGCTCAGGTACTCAAATTCCTAATTGCATGGCTTTGCCTGAACTCTGGTCATACACAACTGGCCCTATGTCACTGCCAGCCCCAGCCCTGCCTGTCCCTCACAGCTGCCATCACCTGGGGCTCGCTGCAGATCACGCGCTCGCCCAGCGCAGCGGCAGGCTCCGCGGGAGCAAACTTGGGGCTGTCGGTGCTAAAAGTGCCTTTGCCTGTCGGCGGAGCTGAGGTGACGGCCGCTCTCCTGTGCGGAGGGAGCAGAGCCTTGCTGCTGCCTGCAGCAGCCGCCAAGCGCAGGCCGACGCTGAGCCACTGGCCTGCACTGCATGTGGCTGTTGTGAAAAAAATAAAGTAAGTATGTAAAAAAAGTCATTTTTGTCATCCCTGAGCTATTTTCCTGAACAGGGAAAAAATCACCCTGCCCTTCTGCAGGGCCCTTGGTTCAGCCCCTGGGAAGGCTCCAGCTACAGCAGCGTGCTGGCGGCCGGCCGTGCCTGCC